CCCCCCCCCAACCCTCATTGTCTAGGGCAGTGTGTTTCAACCAGTGGGACGTGGCTGTGGGACTTTAATGGAAATTTTTAAGGACATTCAGTGATTTGCCAGCAGTCCTTTGAAGTCGAGGATGACGTCCATCAGGCTTGATGGGTTCTCAGGTGACTGAGGAGCCCCATTCTTTAGCAACGGGTGCAGGTTGCGTGGGGGAGTGGGATTCGCAGCTCCAGGTTGGTCTCCTTCTCCTTCCTCTGCCGTTGCTGTTCCGTCTCAGTATTGAGTCGTTGGGCCTCAAAGTGGCGCATGCCTTGGTGGACCAGGTGGTGCCACATTGAATGGTCAGCAGCTCGCTCCTCCCAGCCGTTGGTGTTGATGCCTTTGTGCTTGTGGGCAACCTTGAATGTGTCTTTGTACCGTTTCCTTTGGCCGCCCTTTGAGTGCTGGCCAACAGAGAGGTGGGAGAAGCGAATCTGGCGAGGGAGGCGGTTCTTGGACATCCGGATGCAGCGGCCCGTCCATTGGAGTTGATTTCTCAAGAGCAAGACTTCGATGCTGGTGGACGCAGCTTCATGAAGGACGCTCATGCTGGCCTGGCGGTCCTCCCGTTTGATCCCCAGGATTTGGTGCAAGCACTGCTGATGACAGCTCTCGAGGGCCTTAACGCGGCGGCGGTCGACAGTCCAGGTTTCACTGCAGTAGAGGAGGGTGGTCAGCACGACAGCCTTGCAAACCGGGACCTTCGTTGACTTCTGACGATCTCTCCGTTTGAAGACGCGTTGTTGCAGCTTGAAGAATGATTCAGTGATGAAAATCATCCTAAAATACACATCCATGTAAAAAAAATACAGGTGGTCCTCAGACTTAACACGTGGTTTTCAGGAGCCAATTGTGTCATAAATCGAAACATTGTAACTTGGGACTGATTTTCCCATAGGAAAAAATGTTATAAACGGGGGATTGGTTCCTGAACCAAGGCCCAATACCCTGTTTTCACCAAAAATACCCCAGAATTTTGTACTCGATCAATTATAAATGAGTAACAGAGCTACATTAATGTATGTCTATTGTAAATAGCAATCACATTGATTTGGAAGGACTTCTTCGAGGTGACTTTGCTGGACTTGTTGACGGGCTCTTGGCTGGAGTCTTCTCGGGAGTCTCGTCGGCTTTCTTCAAGAAGGTGTCTGAGGAGGTTTGGACAGATGTTCTCCAGGGAGATGGGCGGCGCAGCACAGGTGTGCGCTGGCGTGTCGGGGCGTCAGATCAAGCGTTGTAAAGTGGAAACTGAGGTCCGAAAGTTGAAAGGGGGTGTCAGTTTATAAACTAAGTGTGAGCGGTAACTTGAACTGGGGTAAGGCGGGGGCTGCCCGCGCACTTGTTTGGGAAAAGCGGGGTTTTGTCTTGACTGCGCTGGGACCGGGGGTTTTGCCACAAGGCTTGGCGGCTCATTAAGGTGCGGGGTGCGGGCCGGGCCATGAATGACGGGGCTGGGCCGAGTGTCCCCGCTCCCGTTACGAGGGGCCTCAACGAGGGAGAAACCCGGAGCTTTCGGGTGTGCGGGGCGGGGGCAGCTCGTCCGTGTGCGCAGGA